GACGATCGTAAAAGCCGGGAGAGGATCGTAACCGAGATTTACGAGCGTCGAAGACGTAAGTCCGATGCACGATTTCTTCGAGAAATCTTCAAGGGGGGTTGGAAAGGGAAAGGAGGAGTAAACGCGCGCGAGTCGTACGTGCGAATAATGGTAATCGAGAACGTTTTCTTTCGATGGAGACGTTCTCTACGCGCTCTCTAGCTGACGTATCCATTTTCCCGGCTAATGCAATTTAGCCGCATTAACGACTTGTCGCGGATGCACATACTTAGTGAGCGAAACGAGACAGCGCGTCTTCGCTATAATGTATGGCCTCGACTGCTGATTAAATATTGCGAGAAACTTTGGCGAAATCGGCAAGGGACACGTCGCGTTCGTCTCTCTCAGTCTCTATCTCTCTCTCTCTCTCCCTCTCTCTCTCTCTCTCTCTCTTTCTATCTCTCTCCCTTTAGCACGCGCGTCTCCGAATCAATCTTAATACTACGGGGTTATTAATGACCTAGCCGAGGTATGCAATAACTCACGAACACGACATTAAGCGCCTAGTAGTTTCCAATGGGACTGCCGTTCGTCTTATCTGCCCAGATAAGATTACGCCATTTACGAAGCGAGTCTAAATGTAAACTGCATGCGACGACAAATCAAAAGTCATTCGAGAGATAGCAATGAGGAGAATATTTGATTGAACGAAAAATGTAATTTTGTATAAAAGAGAAACGATAGATGCGGTAAAGATATTTAAATAATCAACGAATTCTCTGCATGACAGAAGCTTGCCACAGTTCTCATGCAAATTTTCAATTTGTATCGTATAATCCGTTTCTAAATCAAAAGATAGTTATTTTAATTTTATATTTCTAAATCAAAAGATTATTTTAATTTTATATCGCGATATTTTATACAAATGTGACTTATTTAATCAGTGATTTAATTAAGTGAATTTAAAACTCAATTAGTAAATTATTGCGAGATGTCAGAGGTACATGCAGAATGTCGTTGGCATGCTACATACCAAATAGTACTACTGTTTTACAAAGAGAAAATCGCGGAATTATATAAAGAATTTAATCTTCGAAAAAGCTTTTGAACGTTCTGTTAGATGCTCCGATGCTTTTCATTCGTGATGTTATCGTGATGTTTTTCTATCTTTGATAACGAATATATTTGTGTGACATTTTTAGTATATTATCTTTTCTTGAAATAATAATACACAAGAAATTATGTAATAAAATTTGCAAAATTCGGGATATTATAAAATAAAAGCCTCTTAAAAAAAGATATATATATATAGAGAGAGAGAGAGATTCCTTTCTTTGTTTTTATCAGACCCACACTTTGACCTTACTATTTATTAATGATGATACGTCTGTTCCATAATAAAGTAACCTTGTTTGAATATCAAATCGTACAAAATTATCTCACTGTTCGCGCAAGTGAATCTTATTAAAATAGATTGGTTTTAGCTTAACGAGAAAAAGAGCGATTTAATAATTCTTACACACACACACACACTAATCGCCTTCTAAGATAGCTATCGATTCTCTTGGCTACAATTAATTGAAAATCGATAACGAGGGCAAAATTATTTCTGGTATTAGACTGTACGCCACATCGCACACTCTGGTATCTAATATCTGATATGATATCATCGTATATAAAAAGGTGATCTTTAAATAGCGCTCACTCAGTTCAAGGATTCAAGGAAAAATGCATCAAATTTTATGTTCCATTTTAGATACGACTTTAGATTTAAAGTGTATCTTACAAATTATGTTAAATTTCATGTTTCGATAAAGGATGAAATAATTACATTGCAAGTTATCGAACACAAATCAAAATTCAGATAAAATTTGAATTGTAAACTACTTATATATTATTCCTGAGTATCTAATTGAAAAGATTCGAATTATCTGCGGTTTAAATTTCTCGTTCGGTTTTATGCCAATTAAAGAGTTATGGAATACTTGTTCAATGTCAGAACCAAATTGCTCATTTAAATAAATTATATTCGATCGAACGAGCATGCAAAGTTTTAATTGAGAAACTCTGTATTTGATACTATATTACTACAAACATTTCGAAAGTGATATTGCTGTTTTTTTTTTTCCAAAACACTAGTAAAGTATAAGACTTTGATAAATCAAAAGATCATAACTATTAATAAATTTATCTCGCCATTTTACTTCTCTCAACCACGTTCGCGAATTTGTTTTCCTGTCTTCTTCGCTCGTCTTCTCTTTCTCTTTCTTCTCGCCTTTTCTCATCGTCTTCCCGAAACAAATTCTTCTTGCCGCGGCACTTTGGAAAAGGTGCCGCGAGACTCTTAAATTTTCAACGAGTTATTTCGAAACTTCCTAAACAAACTCCGACGCACACCTCGAGAAAGGGCAACAAAAGGAGGCGAGGCCGAATGAAATACGAGCGCCGTTGTGATTACCTGACAGTAGAAAAGGGAACGTTAACAAGTGTATTTATTTCTAGGCATCGCGGTAATATGTATAAAAAGATGCGTCTACATGTTTTCGCGGCATAAAGGCAGGTGACCCGGAAGCTGCCATATTGTTAGGAGACTGCGGAGAGAAGCTGCGAAACGAAGTTTGTCTGGGGCGTATTTAAACTTTTATTCGAAAACTTTTTAGTACCCATTCTAGCGTCAACTTAGCAGCCTGCGCGAGTTAAAGGGTCGCTTGTTTGTAAACTAGAAAGACTATAGGGTGCGACGAGGAAAGAGAAGGATCAGGGAAGGCAGAGAGATAGAGCACGTTGCATCGCCGGTGTGGCCGTCGAGTTAGTAGAATGTAGAAATTTGCGAGTGAAAGTGACCCAAGCAGAGAAGCAAATTCACTTGAGAGAATTAATTAAGGGATTTTCGTATACGCCAAATATTTAAATCGCTCTTAGTATACCCATTGAAAATTTTCAAATACATTTCAAAATGTTCCCTCTCGCCATGTAAAAAAAACCATGGCAATCTCGAACGAGTGTAAAATATGAAAAATATACTTATATTATATCTTCTTAAGAAAATTGCTATATAAAATAAAATTTTTATTTGGTCTCTTATGTATTTTTCAAAAAATGTATAAAAAATTAATTTAATATTGAAAATATGTTGACAATGTATGAGAAATTACTTGAAAAACGAGCATCTCGGCGTTTTTTTTTTTTTTTTTTGCGTAGTAGAGGAGAGAAGCTGCGTCGGTGTAACTTATATACTTCGAATTATTTCGCGTCATAGTTTTCGAGATCGCATCGACGAACGACACGCGCGGGACCGCGAACGATGGTAGTTTGAATAATCCGCACGATTATGGGTAACGAAATAAACGTCAAACCATCTTCCTACCAAGTCACGGAGAGTGAGTCTCCGCGCAGTAGAAGTATACAAGCCCCGTGGCGAATATCAACCTGAATTACACCCTAGGTTGATACGCATTGTACGAAATTATCGTATAAGTAAAGTTTCAATCTACCAGAAGCGAAGGATGCGACTCTCCCGGGATGCGCTTTCATATTTACAAAGATAAGACGTTAGCCCGCGCACGTTGAGCATAATCTCATATTGTTGACAATGTAATCGGATTAGTCGTGGCATGCGCACTATCTTATGGGAAGCTTGTTAAAGTGTTTGTTAAATACTAAATTATGTGTCGAGAGAGTTATTTAGTAAAGTAATTGCAACATTAAAATAATATATACACATGTAACAATACAATCTCAACCTTTCTAATATAATAATCATTTTGTAATTATTTGATGATATCTATAATAAGTAATTATAAATTTTAACGATTTTCTATTGATATTTAAATATGTGATTTAAAAATATAAATGTTGTATTTGCCACTCAAGTACTATTATCTCGATGAATTTTATTGCATGCGAAGTAAAGAAAATGTTTATTTTCTTAAAAAGCACTTAAAAAATAATTAAAAATAAAAATTTGGAAATAATTATCATATTCATTAAATATGATAATGAAAGAAATTGATTTTTGTGTGAAAGAAATATTATACAATTTTTTAAAAGGGATTAGAAAAGAGAAAGAGAGGAAATTGTATTTAGGCCAAGTAAAATTATGTGTTAAATGGTAATCAGTTAAAACGTAAAGTGTGGAGACGCTTTAGAAGATTACAGGCACTTTCCTCTTTTTTTTTTGCCCCGAGGAGGCATTTTGTTCAATGAAACGTCGGCATCGAAACGCAACAAGTTGAACTTGGCTCGTTTTCAAAGAGAGAAGCTCGTAGAATTCATCAAACCTGCACCCGCCACATACCCACGCGCGCGCGCGTATGTTTTCTATCCTATCTATTATAAATTGCTTCGCTCTTGTTACGAATGACATATCGACTAGGAACGCTGTTATCACACAGCAAAAATACACAAAATATACACAGAATTCTTTTTTTATTCTTTTACCTTATTATAATTGTGTGTCAGAAAAAGAGAAACTTTAAATTAATATCTCAATTAAATATTAATCCACGTATTTATTTTCAAGTTTTTTTTATGTTTTTTATTATTTGATTATCTAAAAAGTATATTTTGGGGATATAATGAATAGGATTAAAAAGCAATAAGATGTGATATATAATATGAATTAATACAAAGAAAGAAATTCTATAAGTTTAATCCGGTATAAAATTTGTGAAGATTTGTTTACGATCACCATGCACTGCAAGTTGCATCACTTTAATTGCAATGTTTGTTAAATTTACATCATCACGCGCAATTTCGCTGCTACGGCCTTGTATGGTGTAGAATAGTGCGCATAATATTACACGATAAAATCAAATGCAGAGGCGAGAGCACGGGAAAAGAGAAAGAGATGGAGAGAAAGGAAGAGAGAAAGAGATAGAGAGAAAGAAAGAGAGAGAGAGAGAGAGAGAGAGAGAGAGAGAGAGGAGACATGCTGGAATGGATTATTGGCGGGTGTAAAAAAAAAGGAAGCAAACGGAGAGTGCCCGGGTTAGATGAGAAAGGTCCTAATCTATTTTCAGGACGACCGAGCACGCAACCGCCAGCAAAAAGCCCGACCACCGTGTGGCCCTCCTCGAACAACCCCTACTATCCGAAAAGGACAGAGAGACCACCTCCACCGAGTGAGGAGAGGGTCGAGAGGCCCGAGCAGAAGCTACGTGGTGGCGAAAGTACAGGTGAGGCTTGCATTCTCTCACCAGGCCCTCCCTGTTTTCCCGTTTTTTCTCTAATTATCTCGGGGCTTGCCATTTCAAGCGTCCTGCTTTCGCGGCACTAACCCAGTTTCTGAAATATGATTTGAGCGATATCATGCGCTATTCTGCACCATGCACCCGTATACGCAGGCCGAAAATCGTAAATCGTATTGTGTATCTCGAGATAAGCCATCGGTAGAACGGCGCACAAAATTTATCAATGTCGAAAATAAACGCGAGAGAGTAATTGTAATATTAACAACTTATAAGAGTGAAAGGATTGAGAGAAAATTGTAGCTATGACAGAGAAATAGATCTGTGTCCTTAAAAATATAGCCAAGAAGAATTCTAGAAAAATGGAGATGTATGTCTTTTCTTTAAGATACTGTTTCTTCATATGCTTACGTTCGCTATATTTATGGAATTGAAAGAGAGATGTATCTTTATCCGACAGTATTGACTATACACTTTACGGGCACTGGAAATATATGAGATGTGTTCCGGATGTATCGGAAAATATTTTGAGAAACAAAATTAATGGATTCACATACTCTCTCTCGAAGTTTAAATTTTTAACTGAATTTACGATAATATATAAAAATAAAAAGATTTTTGAGAATTAAGGCTTCATAGATATAAAAATAAGACGATGATAATATACATTATACATTATACAAAAAGCTCATATAATAAACAAAACTTCACCAAAAATAATTAATAACAATGTTTCTTGAATTTGATTATCTCGATTGCCTTAATTATTAATTCCTCCAAATTCATGAAAGTATACAAAATGTATCAATTGTATATATCATCTTTAAGTATTTCTTAAAGCAGACATGTTTATTACGATTATTATTTTTCATGTATCTTTTAGCTTTTAGTATTCTGAAGTTTTTACTATCCTTGAATTATTATTTTAATGAGGATTTATTTCTAAGAACATTTTTTTTAATTTTTAATTTTTCAAGTTTTACACAAAAAAATTGTCTAATAAAATAATCTAAAATTCGCGGCAATGCAGATATGATTTGTACTTTAATATCTGCAAAATACATGCAAATATAACGATCTTATTATAAAATATATCAGCCATCTATGCTGAAATATTAACAAATATGAAAAATACATTTACGAGAGATTTTTGTTAAAATATTCATATTTATCTTGCATAGTTCTCTTCTCTTTTTCATTTCATCTGCATAATTTATCTCACACATGTAATATTATAATTAATTTATGTATATATATTTGTATAATCAATTTTTTCGTGTAACAATTTGCATATAACTGCGTACTACTACATTCAATTTAATTATGGATTCGTTATAAAAATAATTCTCCGCTTTTCAGGACTCGAGATATCGATCAATTTTCACAAATTTCTTTATCCTAAAGCAAACATATAACCAGCATTTTTATCATTATATATCTCGTAGTCATGCCTTCCTCGATGCCATAATGGGATAGGGCAATCGTGTCTACCTTGACGAAGCTCGAAATAGACGAATAGGTGCTCCGATCGTTAACGAGATAACGAGCTTTAGCGAAATGGCCTGAGAAGCCATTTCGTTCCGTTGCTATTAAATTCAGGCTGCAAACGTAGCACGTCAGAACGGAATCTCTAATAAGATGTTTATTTCTTAATAACAAATATAGGACATTGTGATTATGCTAACTGCTAATAAATAATACATAATTTAGTAATAATTCGCTTATTTGGCTAATTTTATTCTAATGCTTTGCATTGTCTCTTTTTTCGTTTAGACCTATTTTATTTCTACGGTCAATCAAAATTCAAAAAGAAATGTTAGGTTTCTGTTCAGATAAATGGATAACAGGATTATTGCAATTCAGATTTTACGAATAGCTTTGAAAATGCAGAATATTGTCGTAAAAGATTTTCTTGTATTCCCTCTATTTTTTATAAGCATTCTGGAAAAGTGGAAATTTTGTAGACATAGTCGAATCGATATCTTCAAAACAAAATCGATGGCGGATTGTTTACGTTCGGTAAGATTAATTGTGCTTTCAAATAAATTGCGTCAAATCAATTCCGAGCGCGAAAAAAAAATGATCTTCGTGCAGTACAGTATTCACAGTATAGTACGTATCGTCACGTGCGCAGATATATTAAACTAAGTAACGAATGTCAATTTTCATTGTAACATTTGTTACTTTGTTATTGCAATACAAACGACCACGCGTGCACCATCCATAACAAAATCTCTAGGGTGTTATTACACGGAAAATGCGTGTCAACCATGAAGCATTGCATGTGCGTTTGCCATTTGTTTTCATTCATTAGGAACTGTTAGCGGTGCAATAAATTACTTCATCAAGACAAGACAGAACGTTAAATCACAAAAATCTCGTAAACGTCATAATTTTTACAAGATCATTGACATCATCAAAAAATCGTTCTTTTTCTAATCTTAAGAAATACTTTTCTATTTTATTTTATAGAAATAAATAATAAATTTAATATGAGAAAGGAATTATTTCATTTTTTCATAGAAAATGTGGAAGTTTATACTTTAGCCATTTATAGGATACAATATGTATTAATAGTATTATCATTATATGAAAAGATTATTATAAACTTACAATATTAATGTACAAAATTTATTATTATTCACGTAAATATAATGTTATCTGTTATATAAAAGCATTGGAAAAATTGCATATAAACCGCAATGATGTGAACAACACAATTCAATTTTACAAAAAAGCTCGCGTGGCAGTCATTAAAGGTACGTTCACTCGGATATATTAGAATGATTGGCTAACATATCCTAGTACGCAAAACGTACTAGGCTTTTTTTCAAAACAATAAACTCCGATATGAGATGGTAAACTGAAAGAAAAATTAGATAAAAATCAAATGTAAGGCGCACAGCCGACGATTCACACTCACATTGATAATTGAAAATCAACACGAGAAAGCGATTTTGCTACAATAGAAAGATACGGATTCTCAAATATTTTTATTTTTAGTTATAACAAATTAATTTTTTTACACTCGTTTTACTTTCTTTTGACAGGAGCAATGTGACACTTATTATGAAAAGAGAAAATAATAAAACTATTGCAGAAAATGCATTATAGAATTGTTTAACTAAAGATCAAATATATTAGTAAAAGAATAAAAATAGCCCGCAAAACGGAACGTATATCAAAATCTTTATTTTACAAATGCCTTACTGATAGGGCGAATCGTCGATACTCGGGCGATGCATTCGAAGGAAGAATACAACAATAAAAATGGCACTTTCCTGTAGTTGCATGTCGAGGCGGCAAAGTTCAATTTATTCATGCACCGCTTTTGTACAACGCATTAAAGATGCAGCAATGACCTCTATTCCCAACACGGCGGCGTTCTCGCGCAGCGGAGACCCGTGCCATATTTCACTGCGTTTTTCTACGGCTTTTCTCTGTTGTTACCATCGCGCACTACCGTCGTGAATATTTAATCTAATAAAATAGTGAAATAAGTCCGCGCCAGAAACGCCGCTGCGCCGCGCAGCACGTGCGCCAGCTTTCTTACGACCGGTTGCAGCTGCAACTGCGGCAGGCCTCGCCGTGACGTAAGGCACGGTGGAGGAATATTATTCCATATCAGAGAATTTTCTGCGGAAATTCGTATTCCGCTGACCGATTTCCGCAGATCTGTCTTCCAGATATTGCCCATTAGTAACATAATCCGGATAGTTATTTTTTCTGGACTGTTTCTCGTCGGGTTCAGTTAATATTGGATTTCACTCGCGGGACGAGCGTATAGTCTTATATAAAATCAATGTGATACATAATACTATTTTAAACGATGTTCATAAGGTAAAGATTATAATGATAATTAATTTTTTATATATTTTTATATAGAATTATAATATCTATATTTTTAATGACGTCCAAAACATGCGTGTCTTTTCTTTTATATACAAATTTCATTTATGTATTTTTTTATTCTTATTTTTGTTTAAACTTGTAAATTTTTTATCAGCATGATTTATATTAATACGATTAAAACGCAGTGCAAGTTTCAAGGTGTTTTCGAGACTTATTTTTAATCTAAAATTGTGCAAAATAATCTTTTATTCGATATCCTCATGCATTCTAATAATTAATTTCAAACGTTGCCAATTGCCAAAGATGCGGCGTAGATGGAATAATTTAATTTGCGATAAGAGGCAAATACATGAGATATTGAGTATAGGGTGCTAATTCCGGCCTGAATAAATGTCAGTATCAGACGGTTCGTAACGATTAGCAAACATCGGCGTCGTATAGCGACATCATGATATCGCATATATATGTATATATAGAGTGTTCCAAAATTAGCTGCACTTTATTTCAACTATGAACTTTTAAATTAACTAGATTCATTTCAGGTTTATTTAGAGAAAACTTAATCGCGCCGCATCTCAATTTTAAAAATATCTCCATAATTTAAATTAAACTTGTAAATATAAATTTATTAGAATTTCGATTCGATATTATATAAAAAATGTTATTTTTGTTTGTGTCCTTAAATTGCGTTTGAAAAATAACTTTTATAGATCTCTTTAAACGAGACAGAATGTTTGTAAGCAAGGAAATGTTGCAACATGTATATTTTAAGGAATTATCGGGAAAAGAATTTTCTCTGAAAGAGGGGGACGGCAGAGAAAGTGCGATAGGGAATTTGGGGCACCCTGTGTACAACGCGTTCACACAAGGATACGCATTCATGCTCTCGTATCTGCTGCCCTGAAATATGCATGGGCATCTCTTAGTACGTTTAGGAGGAAATTACGTAGGAACAACACGCGCGGCCTCCATAGCATCCTGTTAATATTAAGTACGCCTCCCCCGCATTATCCTCAGGTACTAGATATTACCAGGCGTAGCCACCTGCCAGTAGTCGTGCTTTTAGCTGAGCGCGCCCCAACATACAAAGGTACGCATGAGTGCGTCAGCCGACAAGTCTATATGGAAATTATAGC